ACGGACTGTACGCGGCAACGTAGCAATCGCACAGAGATCGTGCGTTGTAAGCACGTACAACTCACTTACCACTTGCGCAACGTACGATGCACGCAACCGCTGACGGCCAGGCGTGTCGTGCAGACCACGTACGTACACCTTGCGCAACCGTGCGAGTGACGTACTCCCTCGGCCGGCCACCCTACGTTTGCAGAAAAAACGTAGCAGACGTAGCCACGACAAAAACGTACGGACAAAAAGCACGCACGGCGAGTTGTGACCGTCGCTTTACTAAAATCCCAGCCGTTAAGTCAGAACTTAGTGTGTTCGTGTAGATATTATCGATTAAGGTGGCAGAATGTGGTGTGATTCTTCGCCAAGAAAGTTATGTTTTTTTAGGCGTCCGTGTGTCTGTACCTCTGACCGTCTGTAAACACGATAACTTGAGGTGGCTTCATTGGATTGACTTGATACCTAGTAGGTAGGTAGGTCTTCATGAGACCTAGACATGGTTAGAGTTTTGGCCCCCTAGCGGCTTTCTATAGTACTACATCTTAACTTCCGGTTTTGACATCTATAACCTAGACATGCTAAGGTCACGATATTTGGATGATAGGTACCTCTTGTACCGGAGAAGAAGTGACATAAGCTTCAACTGCAAGGTCATTTGTTTAATTGTATTTAAAAGGGTACAACTCAAGAACGGGTTGACGAATCATCATAATTTTTGGTCTGTAGGTAGCTTAAGTGATGTTTGACATAATGATGTAACAACTATGCAAATTTATAGGTAATTTTTTTGTAATTTCTGACTAAATTCTTTAAATCAGTTGCACTACATGATAGGACTACTTAAGCTCTCGGCATATGTAATTCAGACCAAGAGAGAAAATAGACATATATTGATTATGTAAACTATATTTAGAATTAATTTGCATAATTAATGGGAAGTGCTGTAATTCACCGATGGTAACTACCTGAAATTTCATACTTACATATTTGAAAGTTAAGTGAAGGTGAACATCATTAAACATAACTTATTCAAACAAGGACCTCATTTGCATAATTTATAAAGAAGATGCTAGAATGGCATTTTGTTAAGATCTTTGGTGGAGAATTTGGATCATATGTGTATAATTTTGGGAAATAATATATAATTTTTCAGTCAGAAAGATTAACATCATTTGGCAAAGGTATGTGGTCGTGGAACTCTAGTTATGTATATAGACGGCTCTACCCTGTCAACATCAGCTCCTACTGTGGCGCAGTTACAAAGCAAGCTGCAATCGAACTTGGAGCGGATTTTGGAGTGGGTAGAAACAAATCAACTTGTATTAAATGTTGGTAGAACAGAATCACATATGATGGGCACTCAACATAAACTAAAGCATTCCCCTTTAATTACAACATCGCATTGATGGGACTAACATTACACAGGTAGAGCACACCGAACTATATCTTTCATGGACTTTGCACGCCAACAAAACAAGAACAAATTAAAATAGAAAGGTAACATTTGCAAGCAAATGCAATATGTTTAACCCTAAACAGTACACCTGGGGTCCGCGCGGACCCCAGCACTATATATTCTGTAATATCTTTTTTGTTTCTAAAGATTTTTTTCTGAAATTTTAGGTAATTGTCACCCACAAAGTTGTCTCTGAATACAATGCAGAAAACTCCGTTTCTACTATTTATAAAAAAAATTATATCTGATTTTCTTTTGGGGTCCGCGCGGACCCCAGCCGGCTTTTGATCATAATGGATACACTGGCGTTCTTATACATTACCTTATTTACGTTTTTATATGTTTTTATGCACTCATCGTATGTCTACCAAGTTTTTAGAGAATGGTGTAGTAATAGAATTAGATTTTAATAACTTTGGTGTAATTATGACGTCATATGACGTCAGAGCTAATAATATAGTCCTCCATATTGGATTTTGACCAATGACATCATCAAATTAGCATATGCTATGCATATTAAATGATTTAACTTATAT